AGCGGAACTAGCCCGTGACGCTCCAAATTAACCTGTTAATCGATACCAGTCCCAGGAAACAGTGCTGGTATCACAGGAAGACAGAATATCACAGCAACAGAGGTCTCTTTATTATAGAGTAGGAGTATAGTTATGTTGGGCTGCGGACAGATCCCGAGCTTACAACTGCATTACAAAAGGGAAGCGGAAACCAAGACTTGGACCAAACATCACAGGCGCGACTTGGGAACTAGGCCGAAAACCCTAAAACTCATCGTAGCTGACTTGCTCCTGGAAGAACTCCTCGTCAGCGGGATCCGCTTCATCTTCTTCAGCAACTGGGGGGGGATTATTTATATAGAGCAAGGGTGAGTACAGGAGTACTCAGCAAGCCATGGGAAATAAGTGTTTAATGCAGGCTTCAAGGAAAGGCTGTTGTTTTTGCAATTGATTTTATTTAAACTCTTGTCTGAAACAACTAAGTGAGTGCTTCTCAAACGACACGGATGAGATAGTGCGTCTCGTCCGGTCGGAGTATGTGCAATATATCAGTCTTTTGAATTGATCAAGATTGGCACCCGGCCAACAGCTTTCAAACGGCCACCCGGGCCTGGCTGATCCCATCAGCCGCAGATTTTCCAAACATCAATCCCAAACCACCTCAGCAAATTTCACAAAGCAGTAGTCAAACAAAACTACGCTAGGAATCACCTCACATCCGCCCATGACCGGGGGCACGGCTGTTCGAACAGTTTAATAACCTCTGCAGAGGGGGTACACTTTACCCACACGACATTACTAACCCGGATCATCCAGCGCGTGCAGAACGGCCACGACTAGAGACCTTAAGGCTTTCATGACAAGGCATTTCGAAAGCCGACACAGGTTCACCATATGCCAACGAGAGGGGTCCCAGACCAACACCAGATTAGGTCCCAGACCATACTGTGCCAGGAAACCCGGGGGTTCTCCCCGACACCACCCCGTTAAATCCACATGTCTCTTGGCATCATGGCTCCCCCGTTTAGCTAGTTACTCAGCCAGGGGTGTCCCATTCCACCCATGTGGTCGCACTTGTCTTATGTTCGGATGAAATTCCAAGGAAACGGTCCTTAAGTGCAAGAGCGGGAAACCGTACACCCGGTACGTTCCCCGGTCCACGATTTTGGAAACTCATTTAGTTCGCAAGCACCGACCCAGGTGTCGGGTTTTCCAAGTCTTTTGTAAAACCCAAGTTTTACCCAAGATGTTTCTCAGATTTTAAGTTTGAATGCGACCGTCGATACTCGCACGGAGTGCACGAATACCGAGGCGTGACCAGGTGGTTACAAGGAAACATGATATAACAATTAACAATGGAAGGATCAGATGCAACAAGTTAGGTAGGCCCACCGGTCTGCCTTGCAGACGGGGCAAACAGATTAAGTGCAATCCTATCAATGCATAATATTTTTCAAGTAACATAATTACATTCAAATATAGGTTCAAGATGTTCAAATGTGGCTTGCCTTACTCGAGATCTTGAGCTTGATCCTCGAAATCCTCGCACTGCGGGTCTTCAGGCTCCGAAACTACACGCGAAACGGGACAACTCAACAAACGGCGAAAATAAAGCCCTATTATGGACCTCTAGGCGTGCCATTAGATAGATCTCAAGATTTGAGGAGTTTTGGAAGTTGAACGGAGTCAAATGGGCTTACGGTTGGGAAGATATTGAATTTCTAAGATTATTGGATTTTTGGTCTAAAGGAAAAGGATTTATTTAAATCCTTTTTGAAAAAGAAAAGAAAAGAAGGAGGGAGGGAAATTAGACTTTACTCGGGCGGCTAGGGCGCGGCCTGAGAGAAAGGGGCGGCTCGGCCGAGCTTAATGGGCCGGCCGGCCCAAGAAGGCGGCCCAAGGCGCGCGCGGGCGGGGAGGGGAGAGAGAGAGCCGGTGGGCCGGGTCCATCCCGCGTGGTCCTGGGTGGGACCCGCTTGTCGGTGACTCGGCTCACCGTGAGCGAGGTGCACGCGGGGTGTGCTAGGGTTTGGGAAGGGAGATGCGGCGCATGCGCGCGGTTCGCGGAGGACGCGGTGCGGCAGGCCCACGCGCAGCCTCACGGCTCGCGGTGGACCGCGCGCGCGAGGGGGCGGAGGGAAGCGGCGGACCGGGGTCTGCTTGACCCGGTCGCAGCCGAGGTGGCGCCGACGTGGCGCCTACGTGGCTGCCACGCGGACCGTCGGGAGGTAGACGATGACGCCGGCCGGAACAGACGGCGAACGACAGCGGCGAGCGGCGGAGCGAACCATGGCGATATAGGCGAAGGCGAGCACACCGGGATGTCGCACAGGACGAGGGGAGACGAGCCAACAGCTCGGATTCGCCGGGGGATGCTCGACGGCGGCGGATTGCGGCGGCGGCAACCGGCGGTGGGAGAAGGGGGAAACAGTGATGAGGTCATGAGGGGCCGATTCCCGGCGGCGAGAGCATCTACACGGCTACGGGAATCCGTTGCTAGTGTCGAATTGGGCGGAGCTACGTCGAGCGAGGCCGGTGACGAGCGGGTGCTACGGAGCACGGGCGGCGATGGCGGCGAGCACACAGCGGGCGGCGGCAACGGTCGGGGCGGCGCCAGCTAGCTACGGGGAGGCTACTCGTGCTACTACCCGAGTCTAAGGGGAGAAGATGGAACGAGGAGAGAGAACGGAGGGAGACACTACCGTGCAGGGGTGATGGGGCGCAGTGACGAGAGGCCGCTGGCACGGGAGTGATTTCTCTAGCCTCGGGCCGGGGAAGAGGAAGGAGACGAGCGCCCGGAGTCCCCTTCCGCGTCCTCGCTCGTGGCGGCTCCTCCGACACGCGCGACGACGAACGGTTGGCGAGAGGGACGGCAATGGCGCGGGCGAGAAACGGGGAAGATTGGGAGAGGAAAGAGGAAGGGAGGCGCTTGGGTTTATAGGGCGGCGATGTTGGTTTGGAAACCGACCTTGGGCGGTCAAGGGAGCGAGCCAGCGCTCCGCGGTCGCGGCCAAAGCGGCGACAGGGGGGGAGGATGACGCCAGCGGGAGGGAAAAGGGAAAAAGGGGGAGAGAAAGGGGGCTTGCCTCCTTGCCACTTCGGGGAAAAGGAGGAGGGAGAGGGGGCGATGCGGCAGAGGGGGGGCGGGGCTCAGCCTTCGTCCCTTGGAAGCCAGCGCTTAGCGGTGGCGGGGCCGGGTCGATGACGACGGCGATGACGGTGGACTGGTTTGGAGTGGAGCGGCGACACGGGCGGCAGACGCGGGGCAGGCGCGGCAGGTGCTGACAGCGGCGGCGACTGGCCGGTCGGCCACCACGGCGCGCGCGCGCGGGTGGCGCGGCGATTTGGCGGCATCGGCGGGAATGGCAGCAAGAGCGGGAGGGAGGGCTCGGCGCGGCTCACGGCAGAGCGGGCGAGAGAGAGAGAGAGAGAGCCGGGGAGGGAGGGGGAGATGGGCCGAGAGGAATTCGGCCCATCGAACCCGAGGGAGGCAAATAGACTTTTGCGGAGGGATTTGATTTGGGAAGGATTTGGATTCGGGATTGAACTTGGCGACAGATCGGGGATTTGAGATCTGAGATGGCACGGACACTAGTCAACAAGCAAGGGAACGGATTTCGCAATTAGGGTTTTTAAGAGATAGTTTTTCCGCTAGGCGCCACGACGGAACGAGCGCTACACCTGCTGGGCCTAATGACTTTTTCAACGATGATTAACGATGATTCAATAGTAACACACTCAATTGGTAGTAGTATGTGCTAATTGTAATTGGAAAACCCACGTACATACATGCATACAGTGGTTAGAACATTTAACTAAACTTTTTAACAAAAGATTTAATTTTTAAATTGAAAATTTTGAAAACTTTCAACTCAGAATTTGAAAACTTTCCACTCAGCATGTGAAAACTTTTGATTCAAATTTAAAAGTTTTCAACTCAGAATTTGAAAACTTTCCACTCAGCATTTGAAAACTTTCGATTCAAATTTGAAAGTTTTCAACTCACAATTTTAGAATTTTCATCTCAAAATTCAAAAACTTTCAACTAAAAATTCGAAACTTTCAAATCAAATTACAAACTTTCAAGACAAATTTCAAAAACTTTCAACTTAATTTTTGAAACTTTTGACTCAAATTTGAAAACTTTCAACTTCAATTTCAAAAACTTTCAACTCAACTTGAAAACTTCTATGTCAAAATTTTAAAATTTGAAATAAAAATTTAAAACTTTCAACTCAAATTTCAAAATCTTTTGACTACAAATTTAAAACTTTCAATTACTTTTCTAAAAAGATTGGTAACTGAATTATGAATTATGTATGTTGTTACTATTTTAAAAATAATGCTAATGACAGTAATTAACACTAATTATCATAATTACCGGCGGCAGCGCGTGAACTAGTCGTCAGGGGGACGCGCGCGGCTGCGCCAGTTAAGCAGCCGGCACGCACGCGCCCCCTAGGAACCCCAGTACCGACTCCCTCCGTTCCTAAATATTTGACACGGTTGTCTTTTTAAAATATATTTAACCGTTCGTCTTATAAAAAAAATTAAGTAATTATTAATTCTTTTTCTATCATTTGATTCATTGTTAAATATACTTTTTATGTATACGTAAGTATAGTTTTATATTTTTCACAAAAGTTTATGTATAAGACGAACGGTCAACATATTTTAAAAAGTTAATAGCATCAGATATTTAGCGACTGGGGAGTAAAATTTTGGAAAAAAATAATGTCCTTTTTACATCTGGACTGGACTTAACAGCGGTGATCAATCAATTATAGAACGTATAAAAAAAGAAGAGTTTATATATATTTCAACTTCATCAGCTCAGCTCTTTCTCGGTGAGTACTAAACATCGATCCATTGCGATTTGGCACCTTCGTCTATAGAGAGAGAACTTGACTGATGAAGATGCTTTCTCAAAAAAATAAATAAAATGAAAAGAAAAACTGAACTAAGGATGCTTTCACAAAATATCACGGATAATCAGCTTGGGATCTGACGACATCTGATTCTTTTTTTCTTTTGGGTGACATCTATATATATTTCCGGGAACACAAGTACAATCTTTTATCTTAATTTCTACAGGTATTAGGGTGGCGCATGCATACACCAACCTGCGTTTGTTGAACAACCATAGCAATTCTCTATTCACTAAACATTCAGCCATTCAATATGAACAAATTAAAACATCAATGGAATTAATTCTAGGAAACCTTGGTCAAACTGTGTCTTTGACAAGCTAAGTTGCCATTCACACAAAAACGGACGCCATTCACCAAGAGAGAGAGCGAGAGAGAAAAGAGCATGCAAGTCACACACAATCTTGAACTTATAGACAGATGAGCTTGATAATCTCCTGCACAAATGATATGCTCCATTTTGCAAAGAAAGATGAAACAAGCACACATCTACATGTGCCTTCCTCTATACCTCTAATTAATTCCTAAGTACCAAGCAGGCAAGCAAGTCTTGATCACCATCACTAAAAATTCCAAATCAAGAAACAAATCAAAGAAAACAAACAAGAGAATTGAGACAGAAGATGATTTTTTTAGACTGGTAGAAGATGAGAATATATTTAACTGGATCATCATCACTAAGCATCCCTAGGATGAACCTCAGGCAGTTTGGCCATCTTCACCATGCTGTCCTCCACAACTCCATTTGAGCTCTTGCAAGAGAGCCCGAGCCCAAGCCCAAGCCCAAGCCCGGCCCATCTGGACCGCCTCTGCCCCTTGCTCTCCCGCGCAACGCCACCGCCGCCGCCGTTGCTGCTCTTGGTGCAGGCCAGGTACGCCGCCAAGAACGGGTCGTCCTCCGGCCGGACGGCCCGGGCCTTGGAGAAGCTCTTGCTCCCCGCCATCAGCATCCGCCCCGGAGGCGGCGGCACCGACAGCCGCCGCGCCGGCGGCGGCGGCGCCTTCCTGGGGCTCTCGGGCATGTCGTCGTCAGAAGCCATCTTCTGCTTGGGCACGCCCAGCTCCTGCTCCCACGAGAACATCACGGTGGCCGGCGCGGCTGCTGCTTCTTCCTGACCCATGCAGAGCAGAGACTTCTTGGCTCTGAACACAGAGAAAGAGAGAGAGAGAGAGAGAGAGAGAAACAGTGTTTGTTTTGACACGGAGAAGAAGAAGAAGATGTTTTTGGTGTGGGTTTCTTGGGCGGAGAAAGAGGAGGAATTAATTGTACAAGAAGACGAAGACGAACGAAGACGAGGAGTAGAAGAAGTAGGGAGTTGGTTGGTTTGGAAGAAGGATAGGAGATGAGATGAGATGAGAGGGGTTTTAGCAGTGGAGAAATTGATGGAGATGGATCATGAATGAATCATGCACGGATGCATGCCAATCGTGTGGGTAGTGTGTGTGCCCTTCAAAATGGAGCTTATTATGCTCTTTAATTTGTTTCGGTTACAGTTTAGTGTAGCTTGGAACACGGAAGGCTAACGGATTGGAACATGTGACCTCATCTCCTTTTCTCCTTTTTCTTTTCTTTCCTGTTTGTTAGTAGTATTTGTTTTAGCCAACAGCCCAACTGCAAGACGATATTGATCACTGATGTACTTATTTTAATTTCCCATGGTTTTTCTAACTGAATTTCATTCATATACGCCTATGTACGTAGCTATAAAATAAAATGGATCATGTATTGCTGCAAGCAAAGAAATACAGAGATTGCAAGCAAAGGGTGGATGTACAGTACATTAGCATGAATTCGTTAAAGAGTAGATGAGCTTCAAGTTCAACAGCGACAGATTGACATCATATACATACACAAGCATCCTTATCTGATTTTTCTTTTTGTCATTGGTTTGTTCTTTCCTTGCCTTGGTGTTTTTCAACACAAACACACGCATGTCATCCAGTACAACAAAACTGGCGGCAATGTGTTCGTCAGTACGACTGCTAGCTATAAAAATTGTGTAACATCATCAAAGCAGGATGAATTAATTCGTTCGTGCATGCATTATATTGCATCTAGAAGATGGGGCTTCATTCTTGGGTTAGGTTCTATATACTCGTGTTTGGTGGTTGTTTGGATTTTCTTTTTGAGCAAAACATATCCATTTGGAAGGTTTGGTTTGTGATCGATTTGAATAACACATCCAAAACTTGAATCCATTGAGGGGGGGGGGGGAAATAATAGTAGAAACCAAAATTAACTATGCCAAGTTGATGGCACTACATTTGACCTTTCATAGAAATGGCAGAGGCTTTTGTTTACACATGAAACCTCCTATAACCTCGTGCCGATCAGTTACTACAGACTTACAGCTCACAATACAACAGTCAAAGCAAGTTCTTGACTTCCCATATACTACAAGTTTAGGGTCAAATTACTCTTCTGAAGAAACAAGTTTTAGCTACTCCCTCCCTTTCTATTAGGATTTTTCCTTACAAAATTAATGTTATTAGATTCGCATCTAAAAAAACTTATGGTTATACTTTTACATTACATAAATAATATATTAGTAAAGAGATTATTAGTTGTAACAAAACAAAATATACCTTATAATTAATAATAAAAGGAGTATATTAGGACAGAGTACTGTCATGTAATTTGATTACGAATTTTGTGATTATAAAGAAAACATAGTTCAGAACCTACGAAAATATATAAGGAGGCATCTGATCTAAGCTGTAGAATGCCAATTGTTTACCTGTCTGTCAGTTACAGACTTAACAGTCAAGCATGTGGCATGTGGGTTTCCGAATCCCAATCACGCATTAACTTTGCAACAAACTATTTGAAAATCGAAGACTTCATCTTGCTTAATCCGTCGATGGTTTTAGCTATCTGCGTGTTATATGAAAAATTGTTATTCCAAATTTGAGTTTATAGACTGATTAGGTGTTATATATGAGGATCATATAAGGAATTTTCTCGATAAATTCCAAAAGATTATTGCAAGCAGTAGCTATCAAGGAGTTGGAAAATCCTTCTCATGTCCGTGGTAGGCCACAAAAAAATGCCAAACCATCAACATTGACCACTACTGACACCCGGAAGGAGGAGCACCAAATTGCCGGGAAAACTACAAAATAGCAACTAATCAGAAATTGGATAGTTCTCTCGCCAACAGTTCTTTAATGCTTTGGAATATTATGCATGCAAAAACAACGCTATCTTAGAGAATTTTTGTCCTTTTAATTTTAAATTACTAGTAAAACTTACTTATCTGGCCATGATGTACATATGTGTTTTAATGCTACGTATGTTAGTCGCATATCAGTCATCTGATTGCAAATGACTATTCCAACATCGTCATAAATTTGGCCTGCATAATCATATATAATTCTTTTTCTTATTCTCTATCTTTTGTTATGACTTCTATTCTAGTCACTCTCTGCTAATATTATCATTTAGTGTGCTCGGAATATTGACTGGTCTTGTTCAACAAAACAGGCAGCTCAATCAAGAATGAAGCTTCCTTGCTGATTTTTGTCTTGCACAATACCGTACAAGTAGATCCATCCAAAAAAAAAATAGAAATCTTCCCAAATGCAATTTTCAAAATACTGCGTGACAGTGACAAACGGGGTGATATGATGATAATATAATGATGATGACGATCGAAGGGCAAATTTTCCATCAGAAAATGACTATACTAGTTAATCATGTCCGGAAATCTTTCTAGAGATGGTTTTGGTTTGCAGCCGCCCCCTATCCTAGTACTACGTTTCTAAATCTCTGAATTAGTCAGAGTAATGTGATTCATATGTCATTCTACAGAAACTTACAAAGTTACGGTTGCATCTAGCGTGTGTCTTTTTGTTTAGTTGCTGCTACTGGCTTGTAAGCATTTCAAATGGCTAATCAGCAGAAAGGAACACATGAATCTTTTTTTGCCCATTCTGCCGCTGTTTAGACGTTTTAATACATGCTGATTAAGCAGGTAAGCAAGATTCGTCAGTCCAATTGTGCAAGTAATAACTAATGTATTCTCAGAGCAATCGAATTCTGTTATAACCTGGGTACGCTTAAGTCAGATTACCAACCCTAGCTACCTGCAGATAGACATAGACTGAATCTTGATAGTTCCAGCCTCCAGGAGTAGGTTTTTTTTTTTTCCTTCAGAAAACAAAACTAGTTGTATACTGCCAGTAGATTGTACCGTAAAAATCTTCATCTGAATGGAGAAAACTTAGCTGAAGCTACATGATAGTATTATATAAGCTTGGAGCATATGCTGGGCTTTGTCTCTGGAATTCTGGATTGAAGCTTGAAGACACAAGAGCACTGTTTCAGAAAGCAGAGCCCAAAACCAAAACAATGGGCCTAAAGTAAAACAAGAGACTAAACTGAATTTTCAGTGAAGAGAAGCAGAGCGTTTATACTTAATTTGGCGATCGAAATCATGCTACACAGACGGTGAAAAGAAATCCTAAATAAACAAGCATATACACACAACGAAATGGATCGAGCATGCATGAACGGCAACGAAAACGATTAATTCCAAGCGGAAGACGCCATGAGCAGCCGCATATCCCTCCTGCATATTCCTTGGTGACGGAAACCCCAATCACAATGTTGCAATTATAATTACGTGCATTGCATTGCCGCACTAATAATCCATGGCGCCGCCTAATGACGCCGGAGATGGCGACGACGACAAGCCCGAGATGCCGGTGGTGCTCATCACCGGCTGCGCCAACGGCGGCATCGGCTACGAGTACTGCAAGGCCTTCGCCTCCCTCGGCTGCCGCGTCGTCGCCACCGACGTCCCCGACCGCGTGCCCGACCTCGCCGGCCTCGACGCCGACCACCTCCCGCTCGACGTCACCTCCGACGAGAGCGTCGAGGGCGCCGTGGCGCGCGTCCTCGCCGAGCACGGGCGCGTCGACGTGCTGGTGAACAACGCCGGCATCGGGTGCACCGGCCCGCTCGCCGAGCTCCGCGGCGAGGCCGTGCGTCGCGCCATGGACGTCAACTTCCTCGGCCAGCTCCGGATGGTGCGCGCCGTGGCGCCGCACATGGCGTCGCGGCGTTCCGGGCGCGTGGTGAACGTGGGCAGCGTGGTGGGCACGGCGGCGACGCCGTGGGCCGGCCCCTACTGCGCGTCGAAGGCGGCGGTGCACGCGGCGACGGACGCGCTGCGGGTGGAGCTGCGGCCGTTCGGCGTGCACGTGGTGAAGGTGGTGCCCCGCCGCGGCGAGGTCCGGGCTGGGCCACGCCAACACGGCGCAGCTCGCCGGAGGGCAGGCGGAGTGGCGGCTGTACCGGGAGTTCGCGGCGGCGATCGCGGAGAGGGCGCGGGCGTCGCAGGCGGGGGGCGCGACGGACGGCGGCGTGTTCGCGGCGCACGTGGCTCGGCGGGTGATGAGCGCGCGGCCGCCGCGGGAGATCGTGTACGGGAACATGACGTTGCTGTTCGCGGCGCTGGCGGCGGCGCCGCTGTGGGCGCGCGACGCCTTCTTCGCCAAGCGCTTCGGCCTCGACAAGATGCTACCACCGCGCTAGAGAAGAAGAAGAAGCCATCATGACTGGTGTATTCAACTTGCGTAGTGGGCTGGGCTCACTGGGCCTTTTATTTTATGCCAACATATCTAGGAATAAGTTCATGTTATGTTACTCATCTTGATACCGAGTTCGAATTATATCTTAAATCGCAAAATATCATAAATATTAAACCCCGGTCCTCATCTTTTTAAACTAGGTGAAACCCCGCGCGTTGCGGCGGGCACATTAGAAAAGATGAAATATGCATGTAAGAATGAACAATTAGATTGTATTATTTGAATCTGAAAACAAATTGATAGGTAAAATAGGCACTGAAGTAAGAAATACTTGAAATGATATCAAGCTCATAAGCTAACAATGTGGAGCTTTGTTTTACTGCTTGCAACACATAATGACTTATAGTATAGTGCAACTTAATATGAGGAGGAATATAATGTTGAATGAAAGGTTGCCAATTGAGACATACATGATTGTTTGAACTATCTTATAGCAAATAATGTACTCTGTAATAACATAAGCATTCCTTGACATGATATGAGCACACAGATATAGAGACTCTCTACTGCTCAAATTAAGTTTATTGCAATTGCTTACCTGGTTAACGATGAGCGAGGTGGAATCTCTTTCATAGTAGTCATTCCTATCCATGTGCAACACCTTCAAATACATGACAAATACATCGTTCTGTTAGCTGAACTCCCCCAAAATCACTATGCCGCTACTCTTTTAAGTGGGATAGGGAAGTCGTAAGCTCAGGCACGCACTCACAATTCCTCCCCAAACGCAAGCAACCACCACAACCATGGCGCACCACCTACCCAGCCACGATGTATGAACAATTTACCATCCCGCTACGCTTGAATAGGTAAGTAAAGCAGCGATCAAATGGCGAGGTATAAAAAAAAAAAAGCAACCAGCAGCAGCTCATCCGAGTGCCGAGTGCGGCTGCGTCAAGCCCAAATAAGATGAAGGGGGCAGGGGCCGATCTACGGATCGGGCTTCAAGGACTGGATTTGACTGCAGACATAAAAAGAATATGTAGCAAAAATTCAATTGGAATATAACTAATTTAATAATACAATGGCCTTCCAAAAATAAGAACTCGATTCATTACTTCGAGAACTTGTTGCTCTACTATTCTTCCCTCGGTAGCAGCTCGGCCACCCAAATAGGCAAGATATCTCATAAGCATTTTGTTGTTTCTGTTTTACCCACGCCGCTCTCACCACTCACAAGAATAGAGTTGCTTTTCCCTTCATGAATCATTGCTCTGTTTCATGTAAAAAGACAGCAGGATGATCCACGATTTATAGGAGTAGAAAGTTAGAAACACTGATGACTCAAATACCACCTATCATATTTACTTTACCTGTATGCAACATCTGCCATAGCGAAACATGTGGACTTAACTCTCCAAATGGTGCTCCCTTGTACTGTTGCATCATATGTGGATCATACAAATATGGCAATCTTTGGAAAGGATTGACGGCAATGAGAATGTTTCCCGTATATGTCTGTCAAAATGTTAAAGTTATAGGTCATACAGTACGACTGAAACAATGGCATATTTACAGTAAATGGCCATGCAGAATAACATATATATATTTCATTAAGTTCATATCTGGTTGCCAAATTCTGCAGAACTCCTGGTTCATGGAGGTATGATAGCTTTGTCATATCATCAACTCCACCAGCAGCTGCAATGATCTAAAAGAATTGACAGCACAAACATAAGTAGCAGTACATCAAACTGAAGGCCAAAAACGAATTAGCAGCTTACCTTCTTTCCATTGGTTGCTTGGATCTTGGCCTCTTCGCCTTTGATCTTAACAACTTCTCCATCGACCCAGGCAAGTTCAGGGTCTTCAGCCCAAACATGAGAACCTACTATAATATTAACTTTCGCCCCAGCAATAGAAGAAAAAATTGGATATATTCTCATGATTCCATTCGTCATTGGGAAATTTACAATGGTGTTTAAATGCATTCATGTTTTACCTATATATGCAGAAACATTGTAATCCTCTATAAACTACAAAATAAAAATCTCTCTAAAATGATGTTTCGGTTTGAACTCTAAAACGAATTAACATGGGAAAAAAATATTAAATCACTTCGATTTGAAACCGCATTAAACGAATTGCTACAATCAGGAAGCTTCACGCAAAGCATGCCAATGATCAAACATGAGCAACACATGTTCAGCGACTGCATCCCTCAGGCGGACGCAAGAGGTAGGCGGCTTTACCATTCCGCCGGGTTTTGGAGGATGATCAGCAGGTGGACGCTGTGAGGGAAGGCGCAGATGAACTCATATCATATCTCGTGGTCGGTCGCTCGTCGAAGCTAACCCTCCGTCGTTGCCGGTCTCCGGGCGGGGGATGCGGTGGTGGGTGCAAAAGCGGGGGAGTGGAGAGGGAGGAGCCGATGTGTAGAAGGCAGTGGAGGGCGGAGAGGGGGCGGGAGTACGTTGAGCGGCCATGGCAGGCCCTCCCTTCGATCTCTGTGCAGCGATCAAATGGCGAGGTAAAAAAAAAAAAGCAACCAGCAGCAGCTCATCCGAGTGCGGCTGCGTCAAGCCCAGATGAGATGAAGGGGGCGGAAGGCCGTTCTACGGATCAAGCACCGATCCGAGCACGGGAGGCGGCGGATCAATCGGATTGGGTAGGAGAGAGGTACCTTGAGGCCGTCGACGGAGAGGAGGCCGCTGAGGATGCACTCCATGAGGCCCGTCCCCAGCACGATCACGTCGTACTCCTCATCCATGGCGGGCGGGCGGGCGGGCGGCGAGCGGCGGCGGCGGGGAAGGAGAAGTGGGGGTTGACGAAAGGCAACAGCGTCGTTTGGGAGTCCAAAAGCGTGGGATGGTGAGATGAGAATGAGATGGGAGGAGGAAGGTGACATGGGCCTCACGTGCTGTGAACCCTGAGCCTTTCCATCCGACGGCTAAAATGGGATGTAATCTACCGATCCAACGGCTGTAAATTAATGATGACGTGGAACATTGAGGTTTGAGCTTTAGGAGATTAATTGCACTTAGTGGGGGATAACTTTATAGGAAGAAGGGATTGGGTTACTTTGTCAATTTCAAAATATACCGGACCAGTCTTCCGGATATACAATCAAACAAATAAATCACTCTTTGTTACAAATGATAAACGAGTGAAAAAGCTATAGGGCAATCAAACTCCGCTCCGTCCAACGTGGGCATATATCCATAAATATACATTAAAATCAACCGTAGTGCATTCCAGGCAAATCACGTATCCAGCAAGGTGTATATGGAAATGAGCTTACCACTCTATCTGTATTATGGTATAGGAACATCATACCCAAGTCTTGAACCTTTGCCTTGTTGTAGTCATATGCAACAACTCTTAAATTTGTATCGTGCAAGAAGACGATGTCTTTAAAAGGATGAAATCCGAGTACAGCGGAGATGTATTCTCCATTATGGTGGATGCTTTCATTGGCACCACTAATAATGTCATCAGAGTCCTTATCGATAGCCCATTCAAATTCCTCCATATCATTTACAGCTGGTAATTCCCTGGTTTTGTCTTGTTTAGTGTCAGCATTATGCCATATCCATTGCTGACGACCATGGTTGCAGGGGTAGCTTTGTATTATTGGCCCTAGGTCAACACCATGCTTGAGCACCCACTCGTTGTCGTCGTATGAAGAAGAAGAAGAAGAAGAAGAAGAAGTTTCGTTGAGGAGCCAAATTTGGAGTCGACTTAGACCGGTGACCAATACGTAGCACACTCTGTCTTTTGATTTTCCTAGGAAAGGGTCCCTAGTCTTTCTGTTTGATGCAGAGTCGCCAGGCAATCTGATGACCCGATACTTGTGGTCGTTAAGTGTGATCTTGATGACGCAATCATTCTGGCAATGCATGTAGAGCGCTCCCCGGAGGTAGACGGAGTGAGTCTTGCAGTGGTAAGGTACCCTTGCCAAGGATACATCAGCCATGGTGCCCATGGTGGCGTCGCCTTCCCGGAGAAACGACTTCTCCTCCCATCGCCCCGTCGTGGAGGAGAAGACGTGCAGGATGAACGGCGACGGCGGCCACTGATCCGACAGAGACGCAGCAGGGAGTCGATGAAGAATCAGGTAGGGCATCCAGAGGACGTCGTAGTGTGGTGACGCTGCTGGGTCGAAGACGAGGCCCCGATCACCGTACATTATGTTGGGCAGTGAGGCGTACGGGGGGACAGGAGGTAGACGCATCCACTGGCGTGTGGCCGGGTTGACGATGTGGCGATCGAGCAAGAGGAGGCCGTTGCAGTGGACTTCGATGGTGGCATCGTCGTCCAGGTCGTAGTCGAGGTCGATGCCGGGGATGGTGGCCGGCGGCGAGGGACGGGCGAAGAAGCCATGGAGGCACGATTCATTGAGGCAGACGAAGAGGCCGCGGAGATGGTTTGGGAGGAGCGCGACCGCCTGCGTGGTGAGGGAATGTTCGTCGACGATGGCACGCCAGGCGTGGCAAACGGCGCGCGCGGCGGCGAGGCTGCGTAGCGGCAGGCGGCGGAGGATGTCGCGGCGACAAGGTCGCCCGGCAGCTGGGAGCAGCAGTCCATGCGTAGCTAGCTTAGCTTAATTGCGTTGCTGGCTTGGGAAATTTAATTGAGTTAAAATATGAGATTCGCTAGCTACTGCATGCATTCTATTTGAGGAGGATATGGATTGCATGAATTAGGACGGATTAATGGAGACGGAATCGGATATGGACGGAGGAAATTTCACCGTTCGGCTTGCACGTGGGTGAAGGCGGTAAAGAAAATTTCACCGTTCTTCTTCTTCAATTCTTCTTCTTCTTATATAAAAAAAATATCCGTGCGTTTTAACAGGTGAAAACTATTTTAATCTTATTATTGTTATGTTTATTTAAGGTGAAATTGACTATAGGAATTCGCTTAGATATGTATATTTTTAGAAAATCATAATAAGTTGCAGTTAGCAGGCTGTTCATCTCAAATTAACATGCGAGTTTTTTTTAAAAAAAATAGATTTCTTATTTGACTCCTTCTGTATTTCTAAAAGCAAACGAACTTAAAAACCAACTCAAATAACGTATCAAAGTACCGGCAAAAATATCTTCGATTTTTATAATTGTAGAGAAGAGATAAACTGGGGGACTCCATAATATACAGACCGCACGAAGTAGCAATCCCGTTCCGGCCCAATAAATATGGGCCGCATGTATGTCATTGATACTGTTCTGGCCCAACCAGAAGAGAGAGTCGCATTCCCACTCAGGCCCATCTAAGCCTACAGATAGCGCACGAAATAGCCATAGGAGTTCGGAGTTTAAAGGAATAAGATCACTTTGACTCCCTCAATTTACCACCGAATCTAAATCGTATCCCTCAACCGCAATACCAGAAATCTTGACCCCTAAACTTACAAAACCGGTGCAATTTGACTCCTTTGGTGGTTTTGGAGGGCGGTTTCGCTGACGTGGCCGCGCACGTGGCAATGTTGACCTGGTCTTTATCCCACGTGACATTGACGTGGCGCTTAGGTGACATTAAAAGAAAAAAAATATGTGGGCCCATTTGTCATTAAAAAAAATTGTGGGATCCACTAACATGTAGGTCCCACATCTCATCCTCTCTCTCACTACCCTTCTTCTTCCTCCTCTCTCCCTTATTTCTCTCTCTCTCCCGCCCTTACATGAGCCGGCGGCAGGCTCTGCACAAAATCATTTGCAATGTTTGGTTAAAATCATTTGCTTGAGAAGTCCTCATACTCTGCACAAAATGGATTAATTCTCTCTGAGCAAAATGAGAGAAGTCCTCAGACTTTGCACGCCATGCATGAACATCACTACATCAAACTGAGCAAAATGGACTGTCTCAAAAAACAAAAGACCCATGAAATTACTTGAAACCAATCAGCCATGCAGCATCTAGCTAGGCAGCTACTCTTCCATCACGAGATGGAGTTCCTCCACCTTCTCGGCCCCTTCCACGTCGGCGCTGGACATCTTGGCCAGCCTGCCCAGCTTCTTGCACCTGTTGTTCCACGCCGACGAGAGCACGAGCGAATGGGGATCGGAGCCTGACCTGATTGGTAGAGGTAGAGACGCCGCATGGGGATTGGGATCGAGAGTTAGGGCGAAGCCTAAGCTGAGCTGCTACGCCTACGCGCCGCCGCGCACTCCGGCGAGGCGCCACCACGCCATGCCGTGGAGGAGGAGATATGTTGATCGCCGTCCTCTGGTGGCGCCTCGTGGTAGGGTTCGCTCTCCCTCCCTCCGCCGCCCCCGCCATTTCCGCCTTCCCCGGCGGCGGCGGTGGCGGCGGGAATTTTTTTTTTGTGAGAATGAAAAATGGGCCCCGCATATATATTTTTATTTTAGTGCCACATAAGTGCCACGTCAATGCCACGTGGCACAAAGACCGAGTCAACACTGCCACATATGCGCCACGTCAGCAAAACCACCCTCTAAAACCACCGAGAGAGTTAAATTGCACTGGTTTTGTAAGTTCGGGGGTCAAGATTTCTGGTATTGCGATTGAGGGATACGATTTAGATTTGGTGGTCAGTTGAGGGAGTCAAAGTGATCTTATTCCGAGTTTAAAACACCGACCCTCGTCGACCCTATTACGATTCAGATTTTGAGAACAAAGAGTTAGGCTGATCCTAACAATTAGCCACTCAGACAACACAAAGCATCATCGATGGAAGGATGACAGATGATGTCAATTTCTTTTTTTTTTTAGAGAAATTGACATGCAATTTGTAGATCATCAGCAAGTATATTTGGCTGGCGTACGTGTTGTTTAGAATTTCTCCTTCTCGTGGATGACGCTGCATGTTAGGCTGGCTGGCCGGTACGTACGCAACGTGCATGTGAAATGTGTGGTGGATCTTTGTCGTGTGTCATCACTGTCTTGTTATTATTGGACAGACAGCTTCTGCCGAATTTTCTCAATATGTACCACAATTCTATATTTCCTCGGTTTTTTTATACTACACGTAGCGTAAACTTTTCGCACGATGTTTTATCATTCATGTTATTCAAATATTTTGTGTAAATATGTAAAAGTTTATTTGATGAAAAAAGTCACAATAAAACAAATAATATTTATATAATTTTTTTAATAACATGAGTAGTTAAATATCACGTTAAAAGTTAACGGCGTTAAATATTAAGAAACCGATGTATTATATCTTTTTGGATGAAACGCTGATCGATCTGCATTTTATATAATATATATATATGTATGGAAGGAATTTCTGGTGGAAACTACTCGTAGATGGTAATCTCACACATGCCCACTGATTTTTCTTCTCTTATAGCCACGTCAAAGTCCATAAAAATGGGGAAAAGAAAAGCAAAGTGTCCTTGTCTTGGTCGGCTTGATCAATTGGTCTTGGATTAGCTCACCTGCCTGTGCCCTTCCATTGATGATGCCTAATTAAGGTTTAGACAGCTGCCACGTACGTAAATAAGTGACTATACTATGTATTAACCTCTTTCATATTATATATATGGATGTTAGCTTGACTTTTTACAGGAACTTAACACTTAGGGAGTTGTTAAGATTGTAGCTAAAACACACCTTACAAATTTTGGTATTTCGGTAAGTTGACAATATTATCAAAATTATGACAGAATTTTTTTTGTATTTATCAAAGTTTGGCGAAAAAAAATAAATCCAAGCAAATCTTTGGTAACTTTAAAAAAAATGATATGATACATTCCAATTAGGAAAAAAACCCCACCGTTAACAATATTTGGATTATATATTATGAAAGTATTTATCATTGTGAATATAGATGCTAATTGCATAGGAGTAACTTACAAGGGACTTTTTTTTTTATAAATCTTATAATGTTAGTACGAATAAATGGATGAATGGTGCATGCCGTAAGGCTCCCCGAACTCAAATCCAAACACAAATAAAGATGCTAATTGCATAGGAGTAACTTACAAGGGACTTTTTGGCCACGATCTGGATAAACAAAAAATCAAATCATGCTCTTTGATTAATTTGATGTCAAGATCGATCGATGTGATGAATTGTGTGCTTTACTTGTTGGTAACCAAGCATGACAAGACACTGCTTGGCCTCTGATTCCAATGGCCCGGTGAGAACCACGTGTCATCACGGCGTGCGTGTGGGCCCCACTGTTGGGACCAATCCACCCCCACCACGTTCTCCACTGCCCACCTTACGTGGCATCTCCTTTTTCTCATCTCAATTTTAATTTTTTTTAAAAAAAATTGATAGGAGTAGTAAAATGCACCAATCCTTTATTCCTCGGAGGAAAAAAAAGAAAAAGAAAACTTAAAGGACACTGTAGTACTCCGTATTTGATTTTGCAATAACTCCTGGGGGCTTCTTCCCTTCCACTCTCGTCTCGTACTCTCTCCAAACCCAAATCAAAACCAAACCAAAATCGAAACCAAATCGAAAAAGCGAGAGAGAGAGAGAGGAAAAAGTTTGGATTCATCATCCCCTTCTTCTTCTTCCTCCTCTCGCCTCGCCTCGTCTCGTCTGCTCCAATCCAGTCCGCATCTCCCCGCCATTGCCGCCGCCGCGGCCGCGCTTAATTTAACCCACTCCCACTCCTCGTCGCCGTGGTAATCTGCTCTCCTGCTGCCTTTTTTTTTTTTGCTGCTTTGTGCTGCTTCGTTGGTTGATTTCCTTCTCATTCTATTGGGGTTTCACTTAATGGCGGCGCAGGGCTCCACCGAGGCGGCGGCGGTTGCTGTGTTGCGCCGGCGAGCGGGCGGTCGACTTGGAGGCAAGTTAATCTCGCCTCCTCCTTCGTCTTCTCTACTTGTTCGTTTTAGTTCGTCGGATTTACTACGCGTTGGTTTAGACAGAAATTTCAGTTGTTAATCCCCGTTCTTTGTCCATCGATTTCGGAGTTGGATTCTGTTCCTTCTCTTGCTGCGGTTGCGGTTAATCTGTTAATGGGGGAGGAGTCGCGGTTAATGCGATGTAGTAGTAATTTTCTGCTTGGTTTCTATACTAAGCCTGCAGGGTCAGGTAGAGTTGCAGTTTGCAGGCAATCCGCTTTCTGTCGCGTGGTGTTGTGGTGATGCGGATGCTCACACGCAAACACCGGTTCCAACCATCGAATCTAAACCCAACCTGTTCAGACAGCTTGGATTCCTCTATTTGCAGCCTTGCAGCCAACGATGTTGACGCCTCTTGCATCGTGTTCTTCTTTTTAATTAACTACTCCACTTGGTAGTAGAATAATATATAAGCAGCCCTCATGTCATTTGGGCACATGACATTGCATCTGGAGTGTTCTACATGCTACCACTACTTTTTGTTTTAGCCAATTAATTACTACTTATTATCTCCAAGGTTCCACTGTCCGTACACCCACTCCGAGGAATTGGCTTCATTCTCAAATCTGATTTTACCTTGGTGCCACTTTTGGAATGTGCGTTTGTTTATTCATGGTGTAGAAATAGGCAGTGATGATGTTATCTGTTGTTTTGCTATCTTTCTTTTTTCTCTTTCTCTTTGTGGAGATTACAGAATTTGCAGCGATTTGTACTTGCAGGATTGATTTGATTTGCTTTAGCGATCTCTTCCTGCAGGTGCTGAGCCTCTGGGTACCAAGGATGAAATTTGTGCTTGTATTTGGATGACATAAGCGCGCCACGCACTTGCTAGGAAGGAATGAAAATCAGCGGACTTCTGACCTCTGCTGGCATCAATATCGCTCTTTCTGTGCTGTTTATATCGCTCTATTCTGTTCTGAGGAAGCAGCCAGCCAATGTCAGGGTCTACTTTGGGAGGAGGATTGCCGAGGAGCATAATCGGCTCCGAGAAGCTTTTATCTTGGAGAGATTTGTACCATCTACTGGCTGGATAGTAAAAGCCCTGCAGTGTACCGAGGAAGAGATCTTGGCTGCTGCTGGGCTAGATGCTGTTGTTTTCAATAGAATTCTAGTATTCAGGTATTTTTACTTCCCTGTATTGTTTATATATTATTAGAAGGTGGTATCTGATTGCTGAGTTTTTAAACTTCAATATGGGCATGAATCAGAAGGAGAAGAAAATTTGTAGCTGTATAAAGCATAAGTTCCTGACTTGTTGTAATGCACAGTAGCACATCCCCTGTCTTTTATTTAAAGATTTATATTCCTTATTTTTTACCTCTATCCAAATTTACATGCTAATACATTTGTTTTTCAACAGCTTACGCATCTTCTCTCTAGCTGCCATTCTGTGTGTGTTTGGAATTCTACCACTGAACTACTTTGGGCAAGATATACATCATGTTCGGATTCCTTCAGAATCATTGGATATCTTTACAATTGGGAATGTGAAAGTGAGATCAAGATGGTGAGATGAGAAACTTCTTGTAGTTTTACTACAGGGTAGTTTAACCAATGTTCTACATGACATTTACGCCTCTTGAGTGCTGGCATTTAGAGAACTCCCTCCGCTCTCAAATAGACGACATTTTAGAATGTGTGCAATCAAATCACTAATAAATGCAAAAAAAAAAAGACATGTGAAAATAGATTTGTCATCAAAAGTACTTTCATAGAATCAATAATTTCTTCTTTTTTTTTTTTTTTTTGAGAAAGATATGATTTATATGCCGGTTGCATTGCAGGCTTTGGGTCCATTGTGTAGCCTTGTACATAATATCAGGAGTAGCTTGCATTCTCCTATATCTTGTAAGGCCTTTTTCTCTTAGGAGTAATTGAAACATTCTCATTCCTCATATTGAGGAGTAGATTTGATATAACATTATTTGTCTGATAATTTAGGAGTACAAGCACATTGCTAGGCTGAGGCTCCGTCATCTTACTTGTGCAATGCCCAATCCAAGCCATTTTACTGTCCTTGTTCGTGGAATACCAAAGGAAACCAAAGAATCATGCAGTAATGCTATTGATGATTTCTTCACCAAGTACCATGGATCAAGCTACCTGTTCCATCAAGTTGTTTACAAAGTTGGAAAAGTTCAGAAGATAATGGTAAAATCTGCACTCGAAGGGATGAGCTGCATATAAATTTGAACATATTGTAATAAAGAATATTGCTGATTGTTTATTGGGAATTTTAAAAGACGGCCTTGATAGTTGTTGTCATTTGATATTAATTTTGGGTCTACTATCTTGTAGTTGGGTAATCACTGGGGGAAACAAGCAAAACCTATCACATTCTTCCCACTAATTTGATTCTCAGCTCTGTGCTTTTATATAGAGTAGTGTTCATTAATCTCCGGTTCCTTGAATTGAATTTATGGCTTTGCATATTTTTATTTCACTTTCTTCTTATTGTGTAACAATTCTAGTCATATTCTGGCAGACTGGTGCTAAGAAGGCATACAGGAAATTCAAACATTTTACAGACAGCACTATTGATCAGAGGTGTCGAGCAATTTCATACCGGTGCTGTCTGTGCGGAGCCTCATCTAATTCTTTCCAGCTGTTGGCAACTGGGCTTGAGCAGAATCAGGGGAAATCTGACCTTCAAGATTCCAGCTTGAAACTAGATGATCAGGTTGAACTTGTAATCTCACAAATATTAGCTCTTTTACTGGTAGTTCGTCAATTAGTCAGTATAAAACCAGTAACTTTAACTGTTGAATTGTACCAGGAATGTGCAGCTGCTTTTGTATATTTCAGAACTCGGTATGCTGCTCTTGTTGCCTCAGAAATACTCCAAACATCTAACCCTATGAAATGGGTTACTGATCTAGCTCCAGAACCAGATGATGTGTATTGGTCAAATCTTTGGCTACCTTATAAGCAGCTTTGGATTCGCCGAATAGCTACGCTCCTTGGTTCAATTGTTTTTATGTTATTCTTTCTGATACCAGTGACATTTATACAAGGACTATCTCAGCTAGAGCAGTTGCAGCAGAGGCTTCCTTTCCTGAAGGGGATACTGGAGAAGTAAGTATACATGTTAAAATGGAACCAATCTCTTGTTATTACAAAGCTTGTTCTTATTTGTAGTGCGAATCGTATCTCATGTATATATATATATTTTAAAAGTGAGGCCCTATTCTTGTGATTAGACCAATTAATTTAACATGTTCTGCAGTTAGTCAATTCAAATGTGTAAAGGAACACAGTTTGATGTTTCCTTTTCTCTTGTGTTGCTGAGGCAATATTTAATGTAGAAATACGGGCTTCTATTCATTTCTATGCAGCATCTACTGAGTACTCTTTCGTGTGCAGGAAATACATGAGCCAGCTTGTAACTGGGTACCTTCCCAGTGTCATACTGCAAATATTTTTATATGCCGTTGCACCGATAATGATATTATTTTCTACATTAGAGGGGCCTATATCTCACAGTGAAAGGAAGAGGAGTGCTTGCTGTAAAGTGCTGTACTTCACTGTTTGGAACATATTCTTTGGAAATGTACTATCTGGTACTGTCATAAGCCAATTGAATGTGTTATCAAGCCCAAAGGACATCCCTGTCCAGCTTGCTAGAGCTATACCTGTCCAGGTAAATATTGTCCAAACACCTTTTTGTCTTTGTGCTTCAGAAGATATGAATAGTTTGGAGTACATGATGAAAGGTTTCTCCAAAAAGATACTGTTTTTGTCCCTTAGTTTTTTTCTTAACTTCTCTCTGCTATTCTGTAAATATTTTCAGGCTACCTTCTTTATCACCTATGTTCTGACATCAGGATGGGCCAGTTTATCATCTGAACTTATGCAATTATTTGGTTTAATATGGAACTTTGTGAGGAAATATATTCTACGTATGCCAGAAGACACAGAGTTTGTTCCCTCATTCCCATATCACACAGAAGTGCCAAAAGTTTTGCTGTTCGGACTACTGGGCTTCACATGCTCTGTACTGGCACCTTTGATCTTACCTTTTCTGTTAGTGTACTTCTTCCTTGGTTACATCGTGTACCGCAATCAGGTGAGGAACCTCTTCATTTCTACTTGGAGTATTATATGTTCATAACATATTTTTATTCTCAAATATGAATATCTTCATCAATGAATATTTTATTATGTTGCAAATTGTAACCGTGGTGGTGAACATTTTTTACATGAACCTTACTGCACCATTATATTTGTTGAGTAGCTCGCACTGTTTCATGCAATTAAATTTGGAAAGAAAATTGCATGTTCTTGTAAAAAATGTTTACTGAAATAGTATTTCTTATTTCTTAGCTTCATTCTTCAACCCTATTATTTCCCCATGCTAATGATATTCTATTCGTGGTGTTTTCAGTTGCTCAATGTTTACCGCACAAGATATGACACAGGGGGTTTGTACTGGCCAATCGCACACAACGCAGTGATATTCTCTCTCGTGCTCACACAGATTATCTGCCTTGGTGTATTTGGCCTGAAAGAATCACCAGTAGCTGCAGGCTTCACCATACCTCTTATCATCCTCACTCTGTTATTCAATCAGTATTGCAGAAATCGACTTCTCCCATTATTCAGAACTACCCCAGCACAGGTTCGTATTAGTTCCATCATAGTGTATAGTGATGGACTTAAGTGGACAACAAATTAAAAAATAACCCCATGGTCTCCACATTCTATCATTGTGGTGACTGGTAGAGATTTTTGCTCGTGGGTGATTGACTACTGCATTTTGATTGTACAGGATTTAATTGACATGGACAGGGAAGACGAACGGTCAGGAAGAATGGATGAAATTCACCACCGGCTTCATTCTGCCTATTGTCAGTTCCACGACACTGAAGATATACCCTTGGAGAAAATTCAGACTGTCGGGAGCGATGAGGAACAAGGGTGTAGCTCTGATAAGTCGAATGGAAAAGAAAGCTTCGAGGAACCCAGAGCGGAGTTGTCTCACCCAACACTGAATGGACTCCCAGTTAGCCGTCTTCGGCATGCTGTGAAGTCGATTACTTTCCTTGTCAGATTGCAGAAAAGAGGTTTGTCAGAATAGAATAGGATATCTAACTACTAACCCCTTCATCAGCCTGTTCAGCGATGAAAATGTACAGCCACATACATCATACAACATACATTGAGAGAGCATCAGGATACCTGAAAAGCAATTTTGTTGTTTTGATCCGTTTGATTTCCAAGCTAGTGACTCTAGGACATGCTAGTTAATCAGTATATTCAAGCCTTTGCCATGCAGATATTGTTGTAGTGCTAGGTCATTCTGTTACATGAAATTTAAACTTGTTTCTTTGGTAACCTCAGCTACTCTGCAACTCAATTACCCTCCTCTTCTAACTTCAACTCATCTGAGAATGTAAAACTGAAATTTCCATGCCTGTTAGCTTAGAGCTTGTCCTGGACTGCACATTTTTTTAATTTAATCCATATTTGTCAAAAAGCATGTGCCATCATTTTGTATTTGGTGGCAGTTCTTGAGATTTAGCGTTGGGCTGCAATCTATACATATCTGTAGCTGTTGGGAGGCATATTCCCCATCAAACTTTACAGCCACCATCAGTCTTTGTCATCAAAAGAGCTCAGGGGATTATCCTTTGTGCTGTGCATCACAAATCTGGTGCATGCTGATTTCAGTGAATATTTTCTTTTGTCCTTGGTGGTGTTTCCTTCCTCTTTGTATGGAGTACTCCATCTCTTTAGGCTCTACTGTTTCTTGAAAAGATTAAAAGAAGAGTAAATTGCATTGGTGGTACACAAACTTGTTAGGTGGGTGCAATTTAGTATATAAACTTATAAAATGCTCGTTTCAGTATATGAACTTGCCTAGTTCGTGCGAACGAGAACCAAAATAATTTGGCAATGTTAATTTTATAAAGTTGATGTTGATTAGGATGTGACGTGCATACGTGCAGTGATTATTATAAAACATGCAATATTTATAAATTTAGTCTCTACTTTATCCTTCATCATTGAAATGATGAATTTCATATGTTTCTAACCCTTATATCAGTGCTCGATTTTTTTAATCTTTTTCTACATTCACTAAATCCTATTCTATATTTTATTGAATAGGTGTATGTCTAATGGCATCCTCCTCATATATATGTTAACATAGTATCCTAATCAGCCTCTAAGTCAATAACATTAGTCATGTCCTTTTTGACTTCTCCCGCACGCACCACACAAATTCGTGCATCAAAATGAATATTTTACAAGTTTGTGCACTAGATTGCACCCACCTGATAAGTTCGTGTACCGACGATGCAATTTACTCTTAAAAGAAATCTGATTTTTGACTGCTGCCAGTGCTTTGAACAGGGAAATTAAGCAAGAACTTTTTGTTGCCTCCCTCAAAGCATATGCTTTTAAGAGTTGATCTGTAACATAAGCAGAACATTTTCAGAGTGCTTGTACACAGTTTGGGTGGTGTTTTTGCTGCTGCAACTTATGGTCTGGGCACTGTATTATTCCACACATTACTTGTGATGATCAGGTCAGGGCAGTTAGCCTGCAGCTTTGGTTTTTCTCACCAGGCTGCTCCCGCGGTATTTGAACCTTGCGGAAAACTGGTTTGTGTTTGAATTTGACATAAGTGTAGTACAGTTTGAAGTTTTGAACCACAAGGGCAGAGTCATTGACGTCAGCAGATTAGTGATGCTGCGACCAGTCATCAAAATCTGTTCCAATTTTCAATCGATCGATCGACTTCAACTTTCCAAGTGTAAAGGATGACTGATCTTGTTGATGTCAGCGGTGATCTGTACACTAGAATTTCTGGACAGAGCAGCTAGCTTCCAGGTCTTCAGTATCATATTTCGTCACAGATAGGTACTTTACTTGTTGCCTGCATGAATTCTTAGAGCTAATCTGGGATCTCAATAATCATAGAGTCTAACGAAGAAATGATCAGTTAACTGTTGGGTCTCTAATCTATTGATGGTTTGATCTCTCAACATACCGTACGTTCGTACGAATAAACTTGAGGTTGCAACGAAGTGAACCACCGCAGCTAGCGAGACACTTTGACAATGACCTTTACTTCAGTAGTTACCCTTATCCTGAACTACCCAATAAATAAATTTCAGAGAAATGAACCAACCATCAAAAGAGAACAGCAGAGTATAATCATGCATGGTCCAGGGGGTTCATTTCATCTCATCACTATATATAGGACACATATATAAAAGTATTATGTAGTATTAAACACCTACATTAATTAACAGTTTATTAACTAGTGCATATGCATAAAACATACAATGCGTATGCATGCCAGGTGGTTTAAGAAAATTAACAAGAGAAAACTTAATCAAAACATCTCAACTGTAAATCAATGTACGATTACATTAATTATCACCAGTAAGGCATGCCAAATACAAGTTGCTGCTGCTGCACACCAGTTTGTAATTTGCCTTGCAAATATTGTAGCTGGTTTTGGTGGTTGTGCCAATTCATCATCATCATCAGCGCGTCGTCCGTGCTCCGATTCTGAGCTGATGATGAACAATCGCCGCCGCTCGTGCCGGTGGAACGGAAGATCTCGTCGAGCTCCGTTGCGCCGCCGCTCGTAGCTGCCGTCGACTACAACGAATGACCGGCGGCGAAGACGTCGTCGTAGCCGCGTCCTTCTTCTCCGACTCCGACGTGCATGCCGCCGCTACTGGTGCTAGCAACGTGCAGCTGGTGGGCGGCGAGGAGGAGGACCGGCCTGGTGCCGACGGCGGCGTGGAGGGCGAGGATGAGGCGGTCGTCGTGGTCGGAGAAGGCGCCGTGGCGGATGCCGGGGCGGAGGTAGTTGAGCCAGCGGAGGCGGCAGCTCTTGCCGCAGCGGCGGAGGCCATCCAGTTGCCGCCGGTGCCGTGCTGCTGGATGTACGACCGCAGCCGCTCGTCGTCCTCCGCCGTCCATGCCCCGCGCTTCGGCTTCACCGCCGCCTTGTCGCAGCACGCCGACGACCTCCCCATCGCTCGCTCGCTCGATCGAAAGGGAGATGCGAGAGTGGCCAGGTATAAATAAGCTAGCTAGAGATCGATCGAGTTGTTGTTAATTTGATGGCGTGTCTGCTTAATTGTGTGTTCGTCGTTGCTTGGACTGCATGAGTATGGTTTTCATGCATGCGACTAATCGCTCGTTCTGCCCACCTGCTCAATTGATTATATACTATAAACAACATATGTGGCTTAGTTTTCTGATTTTTTTAGCAATAATATTATTTTAATGAAAAATTATAAAAATAGAAGTTGAAAATCACAAGTTTAGCATCCTGTCGAACAACCGCAGTTTAACGGGGGCCCATATCAAACAAACTGCGGTTGTTCAACAGGTGATATTTTTTTAAAAAAAAGGAGAACAAGCACTGTGCAATATTGTTCATGCGGGACATATCGAACTTTGTAAGTTCGATATGCCCCTGCCGAACAATGCGTAGCACTGTTCATGTACTTTTTTTTTATGGACCAACTACCCTATCGAACCTGTCGAACTGCGGTTGTTCGACAGGATATTAAACTTGCGATTTTAGCTGATCAGCTCCTATTTTTATAATTTTTTTATTAAAATAATATTATTTCTAAAAAAATTCTAGTTTTCTCCCCTATCCGTGATCTTCCTATGTACTATCTCTATTTCTCTCTGTTAGGATAATATAAGGTTTTGAACCGCCATTACTCTGTTGTAATATTATTTACGCGATGCAAAATTGTGTTCATAAAATGTACTTTTAATTCATTTTTTTAACAGGTGGTGTGTTGTCTATAAGTATACCGCTGCGAAATTACTTAAACGGTACTGTCTCCATTTTAAAGTCTTAATATATTTTATTTTGTGATTTTTCCAAATGAGATGATCGTATTTATAGAGGTGTTTGGTTGCCATTCACAATCTGCCACTTCTAAGGTTAGTTAAGTTTGATCACCTTGACAACCATTTGGTTGTAGCTATAGATGTGACAAGATTTTCTTCCAATAAACCAGATCCCACACGTCAATGACTAAAAAAAAGTGTCCCTGCAAAAAAAAAATTACTCAAAAAGTATATATAGCAAGATTTCCTTAAGCTTGTGAAGATGTACATCGCCTCAACTTAGATAAGTATGATAATATTTATTGGTAAATGGTGATAAAATATAGCTAGGAACCTAACACATTCTTCACACATTCAACACTTAAATAAAGAGATTGTCGTTTTGTTTTGTGGTGCTCGATTGAATTGTTTACCGGAACCCGAGTAACCATCTTTAATACACGTTGCATGCATGCATACAGTTTTTAACTGCATGCATATGGGATGAGTTTGTTACACGTGGAATGAGTTAAACAAATTTAGTCTTCGTGACAAATTGAAAGGAGGGAGTATGAATTAAAACAAAAGGACGCTACAATTCATTCTCGATGGATGCACGTAGTTGTTGAGGTGATGGCATTAATAGCTAGGTATACTGTATACTCCCTCTGTATTTTAATCTATGACGCCGTTGACTTTTTAACTAACGTTTGACCACTCGTCTTATTCAAAATTTTTGTGCAAATGTAAAAATACCTATGTCATGCTTAAAGAAAATTTGATGATAAATCAAATCACAATAAAATAAATTATAATTACATAAATTTTTTGAATAAATTTTTTGAATAAGATGAATGGTCAAACGTTTATCAAAAAGTTAATGGCGTCATACATTAAAATAAGGAGGGAGTAAGTTAAATCAGGATGTCTGTATGGTTAGTTGATTCATTGCTTGGACTAATCAAATCACTATAAACATAATGGGGCGGCCGGTTTCAAGGTAATAACTCAATCTCGCCCGTTTGATGATCAGTCGGAAATCATAGTTGTTAAGTACATCCTAGTAGCTAATTGACTCGATCGATCCATAAATAGCGACGAATTGGGAGTATATGGCCAAGCATGCATGCAACGATTTCCGAAGAAATGAATAATTTATGTGGATCAAACTCATCGCAAAGTGTTTAGCTTAGACCAATAGACCTGCATGCGCATCCTCTACAAATAGTACTGTAGTAGTGGTGAAGTTAATTAGGGGGAAGCTACATGGATGGAGACTTCAGTAGTGACCGGATGATGATCTTCAAACACATTTCAATAATCAGGATATGAATATTTCACATCCGCACGTTTCCTCGGTGAGCCTCACACACTGATCAGGCACTCAACTGCCTCAAGATCAGAAACCGGCCGGTTAAGCTAGGATTATTGTGTAATATACATTGGTGGCAGCTGTCATACAACACACTACAAATATAAGCATTGATATCTTTTTTAAGCAGAGATTAAGTGAAAGAATTAAAGATCGAAAGAGTTTTTTTTACGACAATGTCCATAATTAAATGCACTTTAGAAAGTGAAACAGTGGGAAGAAAGGGTCCACTATTACTGAGGGGTACCCATTATCTAAAAAAAATTACTGAGGGGTACTGAAAGGACAAAACAGTAAAAGCGTCACATAAATGCTTATATAACAAATTACTAGATGATGCCCCACGTTTTGCTGCGGGATATAATAAGTTAGATATTGGAGAAATGATTTAGATTGAAATATTATAAAAATGATTTGAGAATGATAATTTAGCATGTGTATGTTTAGTTTTAGAATAAAATAAATTGTAGACTATATACTTACATGTTGAGTTTTGTGTGCTTAATGGGTTGATGTGGCATGTTTGCACATAGGTTTTATAAGTGCTAATAAATACTATGCTTGCATACTAAAAGATATTTCCTCTGTTTCAGGTTATAAGACTTTCTAGCAAGAGGTAGTAAGAATTATCTTAGGGGACGATAATGCTTTCGCCGAAATAACAATAACTGGGCCAGAATATTTGGGTCGGACACTGTGTGGGCTGGATACTGTCAAGCTTACCTGAGTTTGTTTTTAAGAGAACTAGAAAAAATGCCCGTACGTTTCAACGGGGGTAAAAACGTTTTATTTATCCTATACATTTTACTCCCTTGGTTTTGGACCGAATGCTTCCTTGGTTTTGGATCGAACGCTCATTCCTTCCTTTCCAGCTTCAGTCCTAGCCATGTCCGCTACCTCCCTCTGCTCAGCCTACCTCTCTTCGGCTCAGCCCACAAGTGAAACTGTAGGCCCAGCTCGAACAATACCGTGCCTGTACCATAACGGAGCCGATCCTCCCATTAAATCCGGTCCAATCTTTCTCGATCTCCAAAATTTAATCCGGTCGAGCTTGCATAGTCCAGTGTCCATACAATGATGGAGCCGATCCTCTCCATCAAATCCGGTCGAATCTTTCTCAATCTCCAAAATTGTTGAGGGATTTTGATCTACTCGATCTCCGTCTTCCTTTTTAATCAAAATCCCCAAAATTGTTAAGGGAAAATGACAAATCCGGTCGAATCTTTCTTGATCTCCAAAATTGTTGAGAGATTTTGATCCACTCGATCTCCCTATTCCTTTTTAATCAAAATCTCCAAAATTGTTAAGGGAAAATGATGAGAGAGTAGTCGGGAATCTTCTTGATCTTCAAAATTTAATCCGGGGTCGAGCTCGCATAGTCCAGTGTCTGTACGATGATGGAGCCGATCCTCTCCTGAATCTTTCTTGATCTCCAAAATTTAGAGGGATTTTGATCCCCTTGATCTCCTTTTTCCATTTTTTTTATCGAAATCCCTAAAATTGTTGAGAGAAAAATGATGAGAGAGTAGTAGAGAATCGGTTTTTGCAATCAATTGGAGAAGAAAACACATGGGAAAGCAAATCAACGTGACCGCGGTGCAGGGTTCGGCACGAGAAAAACTGCAAAAAAACGACAAAAGAAAGAAAAACGGCGAAAAGAAAATAAAACGGAAAAAAAACGAAAAAGAAGAGAAACGGAAAAAAAAAAGAGGAAACGGAAACGGGAAAAAAAGGAACGGACAGCGAAAAGAAAATAAAACGGAAAAAAATAAAAAAAAAAGAAACAGACCAAACATTTACCGGAATCCTTATGTATTTTTTAATTAGGTATAGAATAGATATAGATATAGGCACACTCCCTATTTAATAGACGGATAATAGTACGGAATTCCTCATGCATATCATGTGAAAGTAAGAAAATAACCAAACAAAAAAAAAAGAAATTACAAGTAATTACTAGTGGACCTCACCCTCGCGTCAAAAATAGCTTTGGCGCCACAAACCAACCCATGCATGCGTGCGTTAGTTCGCGCCAAAATTAGCATGTCGCCTCTCTTCAAATTAAAACTTGTCCAATGCTACGTACACACACAAGGGAAAAAAAAAGATGGACAAGATGATGCGCACGGTGATCGCCGCCGTCGTGGTCGGCCTCCTCGCCGCGGCCCACACGGCCACCACCGCACCGGAACAATCCTACGGCGGCGCAACGGCGACCGTGGCGCCGAAGCAGCCGGCGGCGGGGGAAGACGTCAACAAGGCCTTGGCGGCGGAGACGGCGGCTGCCGAGGCGGAGGACGCCGCCGAGGAGGAGGACGCCGCGGCCGCTCTGGTCACCGGCTTCACCGCCGGCGCGGCGAACTCCGCGCCGGGGGTGACTGCCGTCATGAAGCCGGTGCTGGAGAAGGCGGACGCCGGGCAATTCTACCAGGACGTGCCATGGATTCCGGATCCCAACGACGAGGGGAATCCTCCCAAGTCTCTGCCGGCGGCGCAGGTCCTGCCGGCCAAGGGCGGCGCTGGCGCGGCAGGATCATCGCCGCCGTCGAAGGAGGTGCAGGTGGATTACTACGCGACGACCCAGCCGAAGAAGCCGGAGGAGCCGCCGACGGTCGCGGCGGTCCAAAAGGACAATTGCGTCCCGCCGGCGGCGCCCAAGCCAGCTGTTCCGGCGACGCCGTCGACGTCTCCTCCTTCGAATAAGGAGTATGCTCCGGCGGCGCCAGGCGTGGTGCCGGTGAACCAGCCTTCTTCCCCGGCGGCGCCAGCAGGCGTGGTGCCGGCGCCGGTGCAGCCTTCTTCCCCGGCGGCGCCAGCAGGCGTGGTGCCGGCGCCGGTGCAGCCTTCTTCCCCGGCGACGGCGGTGCCAAAGCCTCCTTCCAATGACCCGTACGCCCCGGCGACCAGCAACACTCCGGCGGCGGAGGAGCAGAAGGACGGGCTGAACGAGAAGGCGATCAGCGACATCGTGAGGGAGCACAACATGTTCCGCACGAGGGAGCACGTGCCACCCATAGTGTAAGCATCATGCACGCACGCAAGCTGTTCGATGGAATGCCAATGGCAATGGCGATGATCGACAATGGCATATATAATAATGGCAGGTGGAACGCGACGCTGGCGAAGTACGCGCAGGAGTACGCGGATTTGAGGAGAGGGGATTGCCAGCTGGAGCACTCTCATGGCCCCTACGGGGAGAACATGATGTTCGGGACGGGGAAGCAGTGGACGTGGAAGAAGACGGTGGACGAGTGGAGCGACGAGAAGAAGAGCTACGACTACAAATCCAACAGCTGCAAGGCCGGCGCCATGTGCACCCACTACACCGCCATCGTCTGGAAGAACACCACCGCCGTCGGCTGCGGCCGCGTCGTCTGCACCTCCGGCGACACCATCATGGTCTGCAGCTACTGGCCGCCCGGCAACTACGTCGGCGTCAAGCCCTACTAATTCATTCTTCATCATATCGATCGATCCACCACCCCTGCTGCTGCCCTCCATCTCTCACCCATCATCGATCGATCGTCATCCATGCATCCACCATCGTCGTCGTCTCATCTTATTAATAATATATATATGCATCAGATTCTTAATTATTATAACTAATTAATTAATGTTATCTTAACTTGTTAGTGATATGCCCTAGAGGCTATCATAGAGATGATTATATCACACACTATGTTTACATATTTATCCGACTTTGTTCCTTGAAATAGATAAACTTATTATTGGTTAATGAATGTGTGATTCTTTCATAAGACTCTTTATGTTATGTGTTGCTATTTCTAAAGGATCACTGATCAAATATCATATGTGGAACAAATATGTATAGATGATCAGCACATGTATTAATTGATAATGTGGGCACATGTTGGATCATGGTATAGAGATACCAAATTAATAATGTGGGCACATGTTAGTGAACATATTGTTCGATAGACCCAACATGAGACACTGTAAGAACCATATATGTTGTGTCATCAGTGATCTCATTTAGTGTTGGTGTTGAATCCTTAGACTTGAGATTATCATGATTCCCAACATGTGTAGTAGCTTACTTAGAGACTGCTAAACGCTACTCCGTAATTGGGTAGTTATAAAAGTAGTTTTCGGGTATGCTATGAAACATGTAGTGGGATATGAATAATCAACATGGGATTTGCCCCTCCTATGAAGAGATATCTCTGGGCCCCTCGATGTTGTAGATTATGGAAGTGCATGGCCATGCCAAAGGTGATTGAGGAGTCAATCACAAGTTATATAATCTATCGACAGGTTCGAGTGAATGATTGAGCTATTAGAGGATGGCATATATCTAGCCTTGAACTTAATCGATATCGTGAGGCAAAGGGGTTCATACAAGTATACACTAGAGGTTCAGCCGATATGATCTTTATGTATGCCCGGTGAGTCAATACGTTCTGCTAGGGGCCGCTGTTGACGCGTGGACCGAAAATGAGTTTTCGGGTTACAGCTGAGTATATATGAAACTACAGGGTCGCACGCTTAATGGGCCGGAATAAGAGGATTGGATGGAGGTAACGCCCCGATTTTCGGTCGGGATTAAAAAATCATTTAATAATGCATTTTCTAGAAATTAAATAAAAGTTAAAGCAATTTAATAAAGTGAAATAATGAGGGAATTTAAAATTTCCTTTAAAAATCATGGCCGGGAATATTTTGTAATATTCTTTGTGCCCTAATGTACTCTCCGGAATTTTCCGTGAATTTTCGGAGCTCAAGAAATAACTATAACAATACAAAGTTCATATAATCAAATAAAATAAAAAGAAAACAAATAAAATCTCCCTCCATCCCCCTTGGGCCATTTTCGGCCCAACCCCTCCTTCCCCTCCCGCGGGCCGCGCGCCTCCTCCCTCTCTCGGCCGGCCCACGCCTTGAGAAAAGTCTGCTTTGCGTCCCCGGTTTCCCTCCCCCCTCTCTCTCTCCAGCCGACATGTGGGACCCGAGGCCCCACATGTCAGCGCCGTCCCCTACCTCCAGCCTCCCCTCCCGCAACTGCCATGGCCCATGGCCGCCGGCCTCCATCCCCACGTCGCCGCTTCCTCCGCTCTCCACCCCACCCCGTGTGCGCGTGGACCGGTATCATTCACCCCGCGCCCATTTCCCCCACTTCTCCCCTCCAAAACCGGCGCCAAACTGCCCCACTCACCCACGTCACCGGCGCCCCTTTCCCCCTTCAAATCCGTCGCCAACCGGCCTCCCCGTCGACTCTCGAGGCTATAAAAACGATCCCCGTGCTCTCCTCTCCCATTTCCCCAACTTTCCCGAGCTCCCCGCGCTCTCGCCCGCTCTCCCCTCGCCAAGCCGAGCCGCCGCCGCTCGCCGGAGTTCACCGGCCACCTTTTCCCGCTGCTCCACCCACTGTCGCACCAATCCGCCACCACCGTCGGCTTCGCGGCGCCGTGCTGCACCCCGGCCCCTACTCCATTTCCCCTCTCTACCTCCAGAACATCGCCGCCTCGTGCACCACCTCTCTCCGCCGTCGCCTCCAGCCGCTCACCACCGCCTCCCTAGCCACTGCCGCGACGCGCCGCCGCCGCCACTAGTTTCACCACGCCGTGCTGCACCCCTGCATCCACTTTTCCTCCCCAAACCGCCACCGAAATTCCCATTCCACCACCAAACCGAGCCACCACCTCTACTCGCCGCCTCCAGCCACCAATCGTTGCCGCTCCCGTCCATCCCGCGCTACGCCGTCGCCTCCTTCGGCTTCGCAAGGACGGGGAGAGCCTCGGCCACCACTTCCCGTCACCGGAGCGCCGCCTCGCCTCCATCCCAGGGAGCACGCCGCCGACGGCCATCGGCCGTCGCCATGCCCCATGGCGGCCGCCCCTCGTCGGCGCCAGCTCGGTGAGCACCCTCCTCCCTCCTTCTCTCCCTCCTTCGCCGCTCCCCGCGCCGCCCGCCGGTAGCCGTCGCTGGTAGCCGCGCGCGTCGTCGCTCCAAGGCTCGGCCGAGCCGGCTCCTCGTCGCGCCCGTGCTTTGGCCGCCCGTGGACCACTCCCGTGGTCCGGGTCCATGGTGCCGCCCAGGCCGCGGTGGACCGAGTCCACCGTGCGCCCTCCCCTGTGCCGCTGACGTGCGGGGCCCACCTGTCGGCGCGCCCCTTTCTCTTGATGACGTCAGCCGTCTCTTTTCCTTTGGAAAAATAAATAATAATTGCGTCATAATTCGATGATAATTCTAGAAATTCATTTAAATGGCTCAAAACTTCTAAAATTCATATCTAATTCATTCGAACTCTGAATTGTGCCGTTCAACTTGCAAAATTCATCTAAAATTGAGCTCTACATGTTTGTTTACTTTTTATGTACTATTTTCTTGGTTTTTATTAGAGTTTTTCCTCGTTTTGCGTGCCAGCGTGTAGAATCCGTTGTTTCGGAAGTCCGCGGTCGCGAGGAAAAGAGTTCGGAAGATTTTTTTGAAGAAGCAAGGCAAGTCACACATTCCCCTTGAACATGTTGATCCCAATTTATAAATGTTTTACCGTTTACAAATAAACATGCATGTCTTGCTAATTACATGGGATTCGGGTATTACCTATCTGCTTGCGTGTGCCATGTTTACTTGATATCTGTCCTTTGTCAACCTTGGGTAATAAATCGACTAGCTCATGTTACTTATGTGACCTAGCTAGAACTGTATGCTTAGCCATGCTTAATTACCACTAGCTCAGTTGATGGGATAATTACAGTATTAGACCTTTTTAGTATCAGAATGAGCTGCGTGCTCGAGACATCTGGCCATGCTTCATGGTCGTAATTATCCAACTAAAATGCGACTGAATGGTGGGCTGTGGGTGCATGGTTTTGCTAGTCGCACCCATGGCAATTAAGGACCGGTTCGCGGGATGCCCTGGAAGAACTTATCGTGCTTACCACAAGCCAGCGTGGGCAACGGCTGGGCTTGTAGTGTAGCTTTCCTCTAGCTGACGCATCCAGGCAAGGGTGGGCGTGATGGAGTTTGGATGGGCCCTGCGACGGCCTATGCGGCTTCCGGATTCACCTAGGCACGAGAGGGGACTGCCCGCTGCCTTGCGAGGAGTGGGGGTGAAACCTGAGGTGTGTAACGCTCCGCTTTTCGTGAGGCGTTAAAAACTAATTCGGCAAAAATCCTAATTGCGAAAATTTCGTTCTTTGAGTGTTGAGTCTAAGTTGTGCCAATGATCTCAATTTAATCCCGTTGTTCCCTCTCATCGAAACCAAAATCCTCTACCTCCAAATTCCTTTTCCGATTCGAGTCTCTGAAATCAAATTCTGAAATTCAAATCCTTCCTTTGAATCCTCGCCAAATACTTCTACGAATCCAGAATTATTCAAATCCCGCCTCGAATCCTTTCCTTGACTCCACCCTATGATCCCGAGAACAAATACCCAAGTATTCCTTTTGAATCTTTCCCATGACTTCTCCTTGAATTCCCCTTGATACATCCCTAAACCCTCGAGTTCGAATATCAAATTTGAATTCGAATCCAAACCCTAAATCTCTCCAATTCTATCCAAATCAATTTTCTCTGCAAAAGTCTACCTTACCTCCCTGTGATTTTGGATGGGCCGATTCTCCTCCCCCGGCCCATCTCCCCCTCCCAGCCCATCATCCCCCCCTCGCACGTGCGTTGCACGCATGCGAGCCGAGAGAGAGAGAGTCGTCGCTCGCTCTCTCTGTCTCTCTCGCTCTCGCTGTTTCTCTCTCTCTCTCTCGATGTCTCTCTCCCGCGCCGACGCCGCTTCCCGCCGTCGCCGCCCAAAACCCGCCACCGCCTTCGCCTTTTCCCGCGCTCGCGCGTGGCCGACCGGCCGGTCGTTGCCGCCGTCAGCCCTGCCGCGCCTGCGCCGCGCAGCCACCCGGCCCCGCTCCATGCCAAACCGACCGCCGCCGTCATCGTCGACGTCATCCATGGCCCCCGCCACTCCACGCCGCACCCGTCCAAGAGTGGGAGAAGCAGCTGCTCTCCCTCTCCTCCTCCTCCTCACTCTCCCTCCTCCTTTTCTCGTTTTGGCAAGGGACCAAGCCCCTTTCCCCCTTCTTTTTCCTTTTGCCCGACACCGCCGGCGTCATCACCTGCCGCCACCTTGGCTGCACGCGTCGACGACCGCCAGCTCGTCGCCCTTGCATCCCTTGACTGCCAATGTCGGTTTCCCTCCTCCAAACCAACCTCTCCTCCTCGCCTATAAAGCCGAGTCCCTCCTCTCAATTTCCCCGCTTCAGTCTCCACCGCTGTAGCGCCATTACCACCGAACCACCATCGCCGCCTTGTTGCCGCTTGTCCCGCTCTCGTCGTCGTCGTCCGTCGCCGAGCACCGGAGGAGCCGGTGCGAGCGTGAACGCGTGACGAGGAGCTCCGGGCGCCACCTCTCCCTCTCTTCTTCCCCGGCGCACTCGCCTCGACGCCGCGCCGCCTCGGCGTCATCCGCCGTGCGCCGCCGCTCGGTCGCGTGCCGCCATCGGCCTTCCACCCCTTTCCATCCCCAAATCGCCGCCGATACCGTTCCCGCACGCCGGTGAGCTCCTCGCCCAAATTCTCGCCATCTGCATCATCTTGGATAAGCCCCGAGCCATTCGGTTGCTCGCTCGTCCCCTTAAACGTGCCGCCCCGCCGTTGCTCTGCTTCGCCGCCGCCGCACCCGCCTGTGAGCCGCCGTGGGCCCTCTCGCCAATACCTCGCGCCACCACCGTCCTTGAGCTCCCTAGGACCTCCCCAAACCATTCCCT